CTTGTGGATCTCATGGAATAAAGTCCACCCTAGACTGAAGAGAGCCATTAGCCTGAAACCATGGTTTCTAGGTGGATGCTCCTCAGTTTGCCAAAGCTGATGTTGTGGCTTTGTCACTGACCTGAATCTGCTAGTTTGCCAAGACGGTCAATAGATGGCACATAGTTTAGGCATCTATTTTGATACATTCGTCTACAGAGGTATAAAAAATCTTTATAAAATTCAGGCTTATTATTATTAATTTTTTTGATGGCACCAAGGATATTTCCTAATCATGTAACTACATGATGGCCACTACCATCCCTTGCAATACAGTTGAACATATTTAGTAATTTTAAACCTTTTTTCACAATTTTATCATGAACAGTTGAACATATCTTGTACGCTGCTAAAACCATATTTTGATGCATTAGCATGCCATCTAACTCCGCCTTTGCCAGTCCCAAGCCCGGGTGAAAAAGGAGGAGGGGGAGCAGTAACAAGCTCACTAAAAAACCTGGGCTCAGTTGGCCAGGTTGATAGTACCTTGTAAGGACTCCAGGGATACAGGATGAGCATCGTTTGTACTCCATGTTAGGAGCGGCTGCACATGGCGTCTGTTCCTCATGTCAGAGGCGGCCATCTTTTTTGGAGCTAAGTCGGCCTGCCACTGAGTAGTGCTCCCAGTCTTAATGACAAAGGCAGACACATTCTACTTCATCCAGATATGATTGAGTGGAGATTAGAAAGAAGAAGGAGAAGCAGCATGCCATCTATTATGAAAATTCGAAACTATTACAGACGCGAATGATTCTTTTAAAAATTAAACAATTTCTACTGTCTACTAGTGGTGAACCATATATATTTATAATTGTATGTAATTCTACTGTCCTCAAAGCCTATGTCCATAGTTCATCTAAAATACCCATTCCAAGAGTCTAGTATCAGTATCACTATAAAAGGAAGATCGAAAAATGAAATATAACAGCGGTATGGTAGATTAAACTGGCGAAACCGCTGGGAGGGTTCATCACTGATAAGCCAGGCCCTCCCATTAATTTTCCATTGTAGTAAGGGCAGTAGAAATTAATTTTCAAAAGAATCATACATGTCTATAATAGTTTAGAATTTTCATGTTAAAACCATATAATCACACCCTCTAGATTTTTCACAGCCCTCTGTTAAGTGGAAACCTGAAATATATGGCATGTGGCAGCATTGATTCTGTACTTTAACACAACATTTTATTGTCTTTTCTTTTTATTTCTTCACAAGTGTCTTTTAAAAATGTAAAAGAAAATTTTACTCTTTATTTGTAACTCTAGAAAAATGTCTTTTCAATTTCCTTATAGGTATCAAGTATATTTCTTTTTGTTTTTAATAATAACACTCTTAGGTAAATCTACTCCACTTGCCCACAATGTAGCTTGGCACCTGCAGCTCCAGAACATATTTTGGCTTGCATTAGATGCACTTAACAGGACCGTTGGGAAAGGCCACTGCTTATCATCAAACAGCTCGAGGAGCATGGACTCATGGAATTGGTGTAATCTTTAAACAAGGGGATAAGAAACAACAACAACAACACTCTTAGGTGTGTCAAAGTGTATATCATATATGGCGCTGAAAAATAGTACAAAAGTGAAATTCTACCGGGATCAGATGGATAAATTATGAAAAATACATCTCCTGATTGTTATAAAAAAAAAGGTTTCTGACAGCTTGCTCCATCTGTTGGAATAAATATCAACTAATTGTTCTTCTTATCTCTACTCAATCATATCAGGGTATCAAGCGACAACCATCATGACTGGGTAAAATCAACTAATTATTGGTTTTTAATTATTCCAGAGCTCTCAGAATACCCTGTCTTGGTTAACCTTTTCAGACAAAAGTACTGAATCTGGTTACCAAATTGGTAATAATTCTGTTGTCCGAATTTATATCCTTCTACAAGGCTGCAGTCACCGTTTGGAGGAGATTAATAGAATCACTGAATGTCGTGGTCTATTTGGATGAGGAAAGTGAAGACTAGAACGTGGCTGATTCCACACTTGTCTTTTCAGTGATACGTTAACTTTGACGTATGTACGGTGTGGCCACTGGACATGTGTCGGACCTGGAGGCTGTTGTTGGGTTCTGTGCTGCCTGGAGTATAGGAGCTCCATCTATGCTTCCTTCCGAATCTGTATAAGACCGGTGGTCTTAATAAAGCTGTATGTGTGTATCAAATATTGTTGGGTTCTGTGCTGCCTGGAGTATAGGAGCTCCATCTCTGCTTCCTTCCTGTGGTGAATCTGTATAAGACCGGTGGTCTTAATAAAGCTGTATGTGTGTATCAAATATTGTTGGGTTCTGTGCTGCCTGGAGTATAGGAGCTCCATCTATGCTTCCTTCCTGTGGTGAATCTGTATAAGACCGGTGGTCTTAATAAAGCTGTATGTGTATATATATATTTATATCCAAACGCTACTCAATTTATTTATTTGGATGGGGTCTTGTTACCATAATCTATAATCCAAATTGTACCTTGTTAAGATGCATGGATAAAAATGCAACAAAATTTTTGTATCGCCAATAGTATATTGGGATATAGAAAGGCAAACTTTACAAACTTGCACAAGTCAGATGTTAACTACCACTGACCATAACCCAAAACTACACAGACCTTCTTCTTTCTTATCTCCACTCAATGATATTACGGTATCAAGCTTGTAAAGTTGACAACCATCATGTTTGGGTGAAGTAAAATGCGTCTACCATTGTCATTAAGACTGTGGGAGCACTACTCAGTGGCAGGCCGACTTAGCTCCAAAAGAAATGGCCGCCTCTGACATGAGGAACAGACGCCATGTGCAGCTGCTCCTAACATGGAGTACAAACGCTGCTCATCCTGTATCCATGGATTAGGAGCCCTTACAGGGTACTATCAGCCAGGCCAGCTGAGCCCAGGTTTTTTAGTGAGCTTGTTACTGCTTCCCCTCCTCCTTTTTCATCCCGGCTTGGGACCGGCAAAGGCACTAAACAGACCTAAATGTAAGAATGTGATGGTAGATGCAGGAGGGGACCACCAGACCAGTGACCAGCCCAACCAGCCTGCCGCCCAGGTCAAGAGGAGACCTAAAACCAAGCGTGAACCTTCTGTTATTGCAGACATGTCCAGCTACAACCCCTGGCCTGGCTTCCACTTCACTGGCAAGCTCCGGCCCTTCCCTACAGTAAGTCCCCATACTTCATCCAGGAGTCCAGCTCTTATACCATCTCATAAGTGACCCTTCTAATGAGTACCACTTCCCTCTTCTTCCTTATCTCCACTCAATCATATTAGGGTATCAAGTTGTGACCCTTGATGGTGTCTGTTTGACAACCATCATGACTGGGTGAAGTGAATGTGTCTGCCATTGTCATTAAGACTGGGAGCACTACTCAGTGGCAGGCCGACTTAGCTCCAAAAGAAATGACCCCTCTGACATGAGGAACAGACGCCATGTGCAGCTGCTCCTAACATGGAGTACAAACGCTGCTCATCCTGTATCCCTGGATTAGGAGCCCTTACAGGGTTCTATCAGCCAGGCCAGCTGAACCAAGGTTTTTTAGCGAGCTTTGTTACTGCTCCCCCTCCTCCTTTTTCATCCGGGCTTGGGACCGGCTCTTCCCTGAGTGACTGAATACCTTCACATAACCAAAACTGATATCAACCCACCAAAAGGAAATTTTGTAGAATTTCTGGTGAAAATCGGGGCAACAGATGATCCTAGCTGCTTCTGTGGAAAAGAAAACCAAGACTCAATACATTTATTGATAGAATGTCCCATCTTTCACAGCTACAGAAGTAATCATTTTTATCCCATCGAAGCAATGTGAGAATTTGTATATAACAAAGACACCAATGTAAAATTCAATAATTTCTGTAAATTCATTTCAGACTTTCTTTTCTATTTGAGAAAACCAACCTTTCAGTTTTGTTTTTAGTCTTGTTTATTGAATTATATATAAACTGCTAAAATGTATTTAGGCGCAAATATCCCAAGCTGGGATATCGCGCCCGATATGTCAAATAAAATAATAAAAAACACACAAAACCCATCAACCTCCAATAAGAGATCACCTCCGGGATAGACCAAGATTTGGTATCTCATGGGAAATTCTACTGTGTAAAAAATGAAATTTTAAAAAGTCAATCTAAAGTCTAAAGAATTAAGTTATAAAAGGGGGGCAAAATTCTAAGTAAATGTTACAGAGGTATATAATGGAAAACTACAATGTTGGGGAATGGCAGAACTTAGTGACTGCACAGATATTTTGTGTTGTACAAGATTGATCAAGTTGTGCATGCCTCTTGGTTACGTTATAAAGGAGTTTATTATCCCCTTGTGTAAAGATTACACGAATTCCATGTGATCTCATGGAATGGGATGTAGGGGTGCAGCTTTCGTTGATCATGGCACCATGATCCGGGCACACTTTGGTGAAAGTCTGTAGTTTGAGGCCATTTCTAACATGGAAGCAGACACCTTTGTTGCCAACTCTAACATGAGTATAGACACAGCTCCTTCGTATCCCTTGCTGAGGCCTATCAACTGGGTCAGTTGAAGTCAGGATTTTTAAAGAGGTCTTTCTCCTCTTCTAACAATGCTGCTGTTGGTCCGCGACTGCTTATTCGTCAAGAGTTATTCTGCTTGTTTCACAGCTGGCCTTCATATCTGAAGGTGGTTCCCCTATCCACCACCTGGGGACAACGTGCCCTGTAGCAGTCAGCTCTGCCAAGGGTTATAAAGGAGTAAATATATAAGTTAGGAGAAAGGCAGCTCAAAATCATACAACTGATAATTATAATCGATGGCCAAATACCCTTTTTTGATTAATCAAGAAAAGTTAACCACATATATGTTTCAGGCTGTTGTCCATCATTGCCATAAGGGCGTGAGAAGACCAAACTTTATGAAAAAATAGTAGAAAAGTGAATTTCTACCAGAATCAGGTTGATAAATTAAGAGAAAGACAACAGCCTAATTTTTATCTCCTATGTAGTCTAGTGGCTAGGATGCCTGACTCTCACCCAGGAGGCCTGGGTTCGATTCCCGGCATGGAAACTTTTTTGGGCTCAAAAATCATTTTGGTTAGCAGCCCCATAAATAAAGATATTTCCACAGCCTAATTAAGAGAAAGACAACAGCCTGAAACACATGTGTAGTTAATTTTTATTGATTAACCAAGAAAGAGTATTTGGCCAATTCATAATAATTAAAAATCAACGATTAATTAATACTTATTCTCACAGATGGCGCAACTTTTAGTTACGTGATAAGTTCTCAGTTGTACCAACTTGATCCCTGTAGAATTTTAATTTTCTACTTTCCCCCCCCATATATAAATTAGAAAGGTTTTTATGATAAAATTTTATGTACAAAGAAGTATGTCAACTCTATATACACAAGGTAAAAAGACCAAATCTAAATAAATAGTGTGTCACATTTTGGTAACAGCGTTGTTACACAAACGTCACACACATATTTTGATTTGGTCTTGTTTCCCAATGTTTCTAGCCTATAATCCAAATTATGCTTTATCATCAACTCTATATATTGTGAGGTTGGGTTGAGTCCATTAGCTTCTCCCATAACTGTCCTTGTGTTGACCACGTAGTATATATATATATGTAGTATATTTTGAGTTAGATAGATCACAACCTTCTAATATTTATTATAACCCCATATCTATATAAAATATGTATCGACCTTGTATAACAATGGAAGTGACAAATAAAACAAAGAAGTAAAGGTAGACTGGACGACGACAAAGGCCAGACGATGAAAACAACCCGGCGCCAGAAAGTGGCGTGATTACAGTAGCCAATCAGGAATCACCACATATGCGGGCGTCCAATATAAAAGGCCCAGAAAAGAGACAAAGGGGGTTGTTTTCAGAGCAACGCCGTTATACGGTCGGTCAGATCTCTCACCCCCCTCTTCTATCCACGTAGGCTTAGGGCATCCGCGGCGTCCGTGGTCTACCTCTACTTCTTGGAGCTACCATCTAGACCTGCCTCTGTTCCTTGCTGTCCCCGTGCGGGAATCCCATCACGCACCCACGACAACGACTGCCCAGTACATTCCACATCGGGTTGGTCGGGATTACTACATATATATGTAGTAATCCCGATGTGGAATGTACTGGGCAGTCGTGGTAGTGGGTGCGTGATGGGATTCCCGCACGGGGACAGCAAGAGACAGAGGCAGGTCTAGATGGTAACTCCAAGAAGGTAGAGGTAGACCACGGACGAAGGCAGTCGAACCACGGGCGCCGCGGATGCCTACATCGCGGATAGGGGTGAGAGACCCGACCGTATGACGGCGTCGCTCTGAAAACAACTAACTGAACAACTAACTTTGTCCCATTTCTGGGCTCTTTTATATTGGCTGCCCGCATATGGCGGAGAGTTCTGATTGGCTCCCATAATCACGCCACCTGTCAGGCGCCGGGTTGTTTATCACGTCTGGCCACCTGTTGACGGGGTGATTGAACTCATTATCATAAACACCTGTTCGTCTGGCCTTTGTCGTCGTCTAGACTACCTTTACCTCTTTGTTTATTTGTCACTTTGTTACAAGGTCGATACATATTTTATATAGATATGGGGTTATCTATATATATTGTAGAGTAGAATAAATTAAATAGAATTCGATGTTGAGATTAAATATAGTTTATTTAAAGTAAGGTTACAAAGAGGAGAATCACGGGAGCTAGCGCAGTATGTTTACAAAAATGGCAGCCAACCACCTAATCCGCGCATGCTCCCACTGTTCCACTGCGCGCGCACCTCCCGGGCCTCCCCTCGCGCATCCTTTCCAAATGGCGATGCATTCATATTTCACAGCTCTCCCTCCAGGATGTCGACAGCGTCCTCGCTGTCCCAGCTATTGTAGTCTCCGGTCACCAGCTGTTGGCCAGGATCTCTGTAGGGCTTCATCCGGAGCACATGGACGACGTCCTTCTGGCTGCGTCTCCTCCGTCTTGAACTTTGTTCCAGAGCTTCCACTTCATAATTCACTTCCGACACCTTCCTCGTTATCTTATACGGCCCGAAGTATTTCTTTAGTAATTTCTCGGACAACCCTGTCTTTCGAACAGGGGTGAACACCCAGACGAGGTCCCCAACACGGTACTCAACAGATCGATGCACCTGGTCGTAATGGTACTTGTTATTCTCCTGGGCTCTCAAAATGTGTATCCGAGCGAGCTGCCGTGCTTCTTCTGCCTTGGTTACCATCTGATCTCCAAAGTCATGATCCGATGTTTCGTCTTCGTAAGGCAGCAGGACATCAAGGAGGGTCTCGGCCTCGCGACCATGAACCAAAAAGAAAGGAGAAAATCTGGTACTTCCTTGTTGGGCCGTGTTGTATGCAAAGATGACATACGGCAGAACGCTGTCCCAATCCCTCTGCTCGGCGTCCACATACATGGAGAGCATGTCACCCAGGGTCTTATTCAGCCTCTCTGTCAATCCGTTTGTTTGAGGGTGATAAGCCGTGGTGAACAGGTGGCTTATCTTGCAACGGGAAGTGACTTCTTTGACCATCTGAGACATGAAGGCCCGACCTCTGTCAGTTATTATTTCGCGTGGAGCACCATGCTTCAAAATTACTTCTTCCAGTATGAAAGTCGCGATTTCTGCAGCCGTACCAGATGGCAGGGCTTTGGCGATTGCATATTTGCTCAAATAATCTGTACATACAATTATCCATCGATTTCCTTTGTCCGAAAGGGGAAACCTCCCAAGCAGGTCCATGCCTATTTTCTGGAACGGAAATGACGGGGGTTGAATGGGAATTAGTTTTCCAGCAGGCAGTTTGTTTTCTCCCTTTCTTCGCTGGCACTCCTTGCAATGGGCGACATAACGTCGAACGCTGTTGTAAAGTCCCGGCCAGAAGTATCTCTTTCTTATTCTGTCGTAGGTCCTTGCAAAACCTAGGTGGCCCGCGGTCGGAACATCGTGGAACTCCTTCAGGATATCTGGTCTCATACACTTCGGTATAACCAACAGCAAACGTCTACCCAATGGATCAAAATTACGCTTATAGAGTAGACCGTTCTTCATTTCGAATCTCTCGGCCCCTTCACCCTGGTTTAAGGCATTTGAAATTTTTGTTATATCAGGATCTAGATTCTGTTGTTCTCTTACTAATGTAAGCGACGTCAGAGCAGGCGACTCTGGCAGCGGGTATCTCGATAGGCAATCCGCGTCTTTGTGCTTGACCCCGCTTTTATAGGTGATGGTTGCGTCGAAATCTTGCAGTTTGAGGGCCCATCTTGCTAGTCTTCCAGAAGGGTCCTTCAGACCAGCCAACCAGCACAAAGAATGATGGTCCGAAACAACCTCAAAGGGCCTTCCATATAAATATGGACGAAATTTTCCAATTGCCCAAATGACTGCTAGGCATTCTCGTTCAGTGGTGGAGTAGTTCTTTTCCGCCTTGGAAAGTGTTCTGGAGGCATAAGCAATAGGATTTTCTTGATTCTCCTGGATCTGTACCAGAACAGCACCCAAGCCGTAGCTACTGGCGTCGGTATGAAGTTTGGTGATGGCACTTTCTTTAAAATGTCCTAGTACCGGCTTCTGCATCAGAGCTTTCTTCAGGGACTCGAATGAATCTTTTTGCTCTTGTGTCCAAATAAACTTTTGATCTTTTTTCAGAAGAATTTGTAGAGGAGCAGCGATTTTGGAGAAATTCTTGATAAACCTTCTGTAGTAGGAGCACAATCCTAAATAGCTTTGAATATCACAGACGGACTTGGGTACAGGGAACTTCTTTATGGCTTCGACCTTTTCGGAGTCGGGTTGTATGCCATCCTTATCTACCACATGACCCAGGATTTTTATTCTTGTTGATCCAAACAGACATTTATCCGGATTGATTGTAAGCCCCGCTTGTTGAAGACAGCTCAGAACCTTAGACAGACGTTCTAAATGTTCCTCAAAGGTATCAGAGTAGACCACGATGTCGTCCAAATAGCACAAACAAATGTTCCACTTGAGGCCCATGAGCACATTATCCATCATCCTTTCGAATGTGGCAGGCGCGTTGCACAATCCAAACGGCATTACCATGAACTCGTACAACCCATCCGGAGTAACAAAGGCAGTCTTCTCGCGGTCTCGCTCGTCCACCTCCACCTGCCAGTACCCGGTCTTCAGGTCCATGGTCGAGTAATACCTGGCGGATGACAGATGATCCAGAACGTCATCAATGCGGGGCAATGGATAAACGTCTTTCTTGGTGATGTGATTTAGCCGCCGGAAGTCCACGCAGAATCTCCATGTGCCGTCTTTCTTCTTGACCAGCACCACAGGGGCTGACCAGGGACTCTCAGATGGCTGAATTACTTTTCTTTCAAGCATGGTATCTACTTCCTTCTGCATTATTTCTCGCTCTCTTTTAGATACCCGATATGGGCGCTGCTTTATAGGGGGATGGTCGCCGGTGTGAATTCTGTGCTTCACTCTGTTCTGTACCTTGTTTGCGTTTTTCATCGTGGGAAGGAAAACTCCTTTAAAAGACAACAGCAGCCCCATTAAATCTTCTTTTTTTTTCTTGGGCAGATCGGGGTTGATTAGAGATAACAGGTAGTCGCTGTGGTCATCTTCTCTTCTCTCCCTTGAAAAACTTTCCGGCTCCACACTCAAGAGGCACACGTGTTCCGTCTCAATATCGCACATCCTACCCAAGTTCATTCCTTTCGGAATCATTTGAGGTTGAAGTCCGCCGTTAGTTATCCAAATTTTTCCAATTCCTTCTTCAAATTCAATCAATGAAGAAGGAAATATCACGTCTTTTCGAATGAATAGTTCTTTAGAACAGGTAACCTCCATGTTAACAATTCCTACGAGAGATCTATTGACGACGATTATCCTCTGCGACGATCTCCCGGGGATAACGAAGTCTTGGATAGCGTACACTCCGTCATCTCTACCCTCGGCGTCTAGGTCTGGTAGGTCGTCCAGTTGTAGTTCGCCCAGACCGCAGTCGATAACCGCGTTGGTCGCCTTGAAGAAATCCCAGCCTAGAATCACATCGTGACTGCAATTTTCCAA